CGTTCACTCAACATGTGCACATTTTTTTTTCTTCTTTACTGTTTTCATTTTGGCAAAGAGCTTCAAAAGTCGCCAACTATCCAAGCCAAAAACCTGGATTCATACCTGAGTCAAGCTTTTTTTTTGCTGACTCCAAGTTCAAATTAATTTTCGTTCCTTCATTCAACAAATAATAGAGAACATTTACCTACACATCTTGGAAACAAAGTAGTGAAATGAAAAACAAATCCCACATCCCCACAGGGCTAGCACTTCAGTAGGAGGAGAGAGACCATACACAAATACAGACTTAATTTTCTCATTCAACAAACATTTACTGAGCGGCTACTTTGTGTTCAACGTTTTTGCAGGGAAGGATATTTCATGGTGGTAAACAAAGCAGACAAAAACCCTGTCTTCCTGAAGGTCGCATTCTAATGGGAGAGAAAGGCAAATGGTTACGAGGCCTTTTGCAGATTCTCGGACCGCAATACCATAGAAATGAATATCGCTTCCACAATACTCTTCAACTTTGTATTAAAAGAGACAGCTTGTGCACAAGGAAGAAGGCAGGGGGGAAAAAAAAGCCAGATCCTCAAGTAGAAAGGGCGAGTTGCTTTTATAACAAAAGGGAGGGTTTGTCTCACGATCACTGATAATTTCCAGAAATTGTCAAAATTTTTGATCAGCAGCAGGTGGCTCCACGGTGGCTGTCAGAAGAGGGAGTGCTTCTGTGAGAGGAAAGAAATGCATGAGAATTTTCTGCAAGAAAGCGCAGGAACAGACAAGCTTAACATGTAGAGCTGAGCTTCTTGTCTTGTGGCAAATGGGTACACTCAGTGCGACAGAGATGAAGCTAATCTTTTATTCCTGCAAGCTTGTTTTTCTGCCCCTGGGACTCAGGCCCCCAGGGCATTTGTCCTTTATCCTGCTAGGCCTGTTCAGCCCAAGGCCGTTCCCTGGTCCTTTTCCAAAATGGCTGCACTCTTGTCTTCCTGTCTCAAAATGACCAATCCATTCATCAGTCAATCAAAAGAATATGTTACATAGCATTGTGGTAACTGCTATGGACAAAATATAAAGCAGAGATGGGAGATATGCTATGACCAATGGGGGGAATGAAATTGTAGATAGATTGGTAGGGAAGGCCCATCCTAAATAAGTGACTTTGAAGCGAAGACTGGGCAGATGAGACATGGGGGAAGAACATGGTAGGCACATGCAACTGAAGTACAAATGCCCTGAAATGAGGGCACAGTCTGCTCCTTTGAGGGCCAATGTGCCTGATGTGGAATGAACTAGGGACAGACGTAAGGTCCTTTAGGTCTGCGCTTAACAGTTACACTCTTAGCACCACTGTTTAAGAAATAAGTGCACACAAACACCTAAGGAGGTCATAGCACGGGCTTTGTGTTTACTCTGAATCAGGCAAGAAGTGGTTGTACAGGGAAATGTGAGAACATGTCTCCTGGTGAGGCAGCGTGTTAAGGTGGCCCCCCAAAACCACCCCCTTCCTGGCATACACCCTCTGTACTGCTCCAGCATTGTGAATATCATGGGTTTTACTCCTGTGATTAGGTGATTTCACATGATACAATTAAGAAAGGAAGACCATCTAGGTGGACCTAAACTAATCGTAAGGGCCAGAAAAGAGTAGAGTTTGCCCCGGCTGACAGCAGAGAGAGAAGCCGTAGTCACAGAGCATGAGGAAGGTTTGACCTGTCTGCTGACTTGAAGGCAGAGGGGACAAGTGGCCAGGCACGTAAGTGGCCTCTAGTTATTGAAGGGAGCCTCCAGCTGATAGTCGTATAGAAATAGGACTCGATCCTACAAACATAGGAACTGGATTCTGTCGACACCAGGATGAGCTTGGGAGCAGATTCTTCCCCAGAGTCTCCAGACAAGGACTCAGGCCAGCTGATGCCCTCATGTCGGCTTTAGGACACCCTGAGCAGAGAACCCAGGGACACCTTGCCTGGCTTCTGACCTACAGAAGCGGGAGCTAAGAAATGGGTGCTATTTTAACTTAATAAATTTACGGTGATTTGTTAAGCAGCGATAAAAACTAGTAAGTCCCTTAACTTTTCTATCCTAAATGCTCTTGACAGTCAGATTCCTAGAATTAAATCATTAGCAGTCATCCTAAACTTCATCATATAAATTTTGTCACACGTTTACAATTCAGAAGAGGAATCACAAAAAACTGAGAAAATAATAACAAATAAATTTGGAATATTATGTCTATTTTAAATCTCAAAAGTAAATATATTAGAGGGTGAGCTTCTAAGCACCTGCTTTATGACTTTTGAGCATGGATACAAAATAAATGCTATTTTAATGTCCCATTCCACCTGGCAAACCTCAAAAGAGCACACTGTCCTTTATCCAAAAACAGTTTTCTTCTCTGTACAGATCAGTAAATCAATGTTCAACAATTTAGCTTCTAGTTCTGGTCATGTCACTTAAAGTGACATTGGACATTATGTTGAAATTTATTTTGAAAACTAGGATAAAAATGTGTAATTCAAACAGCTGTTGAAAATATTAAGGAAGAAAGCATATAGGAAAGTGCTTCGAAAAAATAGAACATTTTTTAACAAATAAAAACATCCTCAAAAAATGTTTCACTTAAGGAGAATCCAATAATAGCCTAAAGCAATGTATTTCTGATTAAAATCTATGACCATCAAAATAATATCTTTCTGATACAGTTGGTTCTAGAACTTTAATCTACTTCATATTTATAATGGCTACAAAACAGGGCACTTGTTCCTCTAAGTTCTCTCTCCTCAATTTCACATTCCCACTTGTAGCAATTCCTAGACGCCTGGCACCATTATTTTTGATGATGGCTATCATCTCTGAAGTTGGAAGAGCCTCCCAGGTGCTCTAACTCCACCCTCCAATTCCTAGTTTCTAAATGAATCTCTACTGAAAATGTTGAATAAGTACTTGTTTGCTAGAGAAACCTGCATCTAGTTATTGGTTATGAGGAAAAATGCTGGCTAGAGCACTCAGACTGACACAAACACTCCATCCCAACACAGCCTAAATCCTCCCTTCTTGCATGTTTCTGCAATGCTAAGCTCAGGCAGTAACTTTTGGGGGAATGCTCACTGACCACACAGTGCTTGATTAGATGCCCCTCCTATGGGGTCCAATTGCACCCAATACATAAATCTTTTCTAAAATTAACACAGAGAATTGTGATTATATGTGTGTTATCTGAATTTCTATCTGTAAGTTCATCAGGAGTCCAGAAAACTTTTTTGTCTTTTTGCCTCTGGTACTTAGTACAGATATGGCACAATGTGATGATAATTACTCTTGGGCGCATCATTGAATAAATGCATGATTAAATCTGTCATGGGAGGTACCGACATGGCATCGCCAAGTACAGCAAAACTGAATAAGCTGAGGCTCTTGCTGACATAATCTACACAGCCTTTTTTCTTAGATACCTAAGACTAGGTCATCTAATATTTTGAAACGTGGGCTAATGTATAATTACTTTCTAAAGTTCGTGGAAACTTTGGTATTGGTCCCTCGGACTTGTACTGCATCTCACTGTCAAATATTTGTTACCAATGCCTGTTCCTATCATTTTGAGTCAACAGGTGACAGCATGATGCATTGTCATTATTTTCCCATAAGCTGAGATACTGCTTTATTGGTTTGTCATGATCATACTACATTCTTGAAAGAAATAAAATGTGGCATCTTTTGGGGGGGGTTCCCCTCTTTGTTCTTCGTGTACTTCTGTCTTTGATTGGCTTGGTTTACAGAATCCAAAGCTAAGGATGCCACGGTCGTAAATTAATATGTAAGTAGGTCAGTGGTTGACCTATTTTGTGGTTATAGCTTGAATACAGCTGTCTTTCAAAAGCTGTCATTCATTCAAAGTCATTTTAAAAGAACTTTTTCCCTGAAAACTGAAAAAAAAGTTCTTCAGAGAGACAATAGACTTCCATACAATCTCCATTCTTGCAGGGTTTTATCATTGGTGAAGCAAGTGAAATAAAAGTTGAAGACCCCATCTGGAGAGACAAGCAATAAGTAAGGAGAACAACCAAGGCCAATGCGGACATTTCTGGAAGCCTAGAAACAGAAATGATGCTTAAATAACACACACCACAGACTGGAACTTTTGGCCCTTTAAGTAGAACCACAAACTGTTACCTAAGTATAATTTGATTATCAAGGGACTAGACCTAATCGAGGTAGGACATTTTAAGGGGCAAACATCTACAGTATGACAAACGTCTCTTTGGGCACCCCATATAAGGACTTACTGAGCCATATATCCAAACACAACTTAGAGCCCTGGGCATCTGGAAACAAGGATGGCAATTTTGCTAACCAATTGCTATGTGATTCTGAAGGCTGAGCTCCTTCACTTGTCATTTAAGATGAGCCAAAAAAGCAGCCACAGGAGAAGAAATCCATTAAGAACACAGCTTCCTTGTTTATCTATTCTACAATTTTGAAATCCCAGTCTCACTGTATAGCACAGGGAAATATACACAAAATGTTATGATAAATCACAGAGAAAAAAATGTGACAATGACTGTGTATATGTCCATGAATGACTGAAAAATTGTGCTGAACACTGGAATTTGACACAACACTGTAAAATGATTATGAATCAATAAAAAATGTAAAAAAAAAAAAACACAGCTTCCAACAACACAACAGAGTTGGGTTTTGCCTGGAAACAGCAAAAGCCAGCAGGACATCTAGCACACCACCGGCAAATGATGCAATCGTGCTGCATAATGATCCCACTGTGAAGATACAGGGCTGGTTAAGAGCAATCGCAGCTGTATTGATATACTTTTAACCAAGTATGAAGAGAACTGCTGGACAGTCTACCCTCAGAGTTACACAGAATTACAGGTACAACGTTTTCAGGAGCTTTCAAGAAGCAAGCACACAGCTGCCGGCAGACACAGGCATAAACTCAGGCCCCATGCCTGCATGTACAGACAGCCTATTTATGAAGGACAGACGACTAGGACACATTTAAAATGCCAGACAAAGAAAGTTTAATGTAAAGTGAATTTTCACAGATTTCACATGAATAATTTGGAATGAGATTTCTGCCAAAATATATATCCAAAAGGAAAATTGTAACCCAGACTGTAATTCCCCCCACCCCTCAAATTAGAATTGCAAGTTCAGATAATTATTATCAGGTCAGTCCCATATGCTGAGATCGGAAGTTCTATCACAGTAACCTAGGATTGGCTCATCATTTTTTTTAGAGGCACCGATGGAATGAAGTGGCCAGACTGTAGAATCAGCAAGAAGGAAGTTCTCAGTCACGTGGAAGGAAGGTTGCATGCCGGGTTTCTCAGTAGAAGCCAGAGGACAAGTATCTTCCGTAGTAACACGGGCGGTAGCAGCCGTATCCATAGCCACCATAGCCAGCGCCGTAGCCATAGCCCAGACCTCGGAGGCAACCATAGCCACAGCCATAGCCACAGCCCAGACCGCCAAGGCCGTAGCCCAGACCGCCGTAGGAGCTGCCGTAGTAATAGCTCATTGTGTCAAGAGTTGAAGATTTAGGTGAGAGCAGAGCTTCTGTTTGCAGAATATGAACTTCTCTGCTTCCACGGGGGCTTTTATACACCCTCTGCAGCAGGTGTGACAAACCACAAGCAATCATGTCTTGCATTTTATCAGCTAATTTGCATGAAAACCATGTCATTAGTATTGTATTTAGAGGTGTGGCCCTCACATCCATCTCTTTTGGAATTCATTTACTGCTGCCTCTAAATTCTTGAAGGTATGTCGTATACCTTTAATAATTTAAAAAAAGTTTACTGCCATCCTTAATGTCTATAACCAAGCTTCACCAGTGTGCATAGCTTGAGAGCCACACATTATTTTTTACACTTGCCTTGAAAGAATAACATCATCGCTCTACAGACTTAAAAGCACAGGTGCACAGACTCCAGGTCACGAGGAGATTCTTTCACCAAGAATGTCTCGATTTTTGCTTCGGGAGAGAACCCAAATGTTCAGATCATTCTGCTTTTGCTTTGTTTTACTTTTTTTTGTTTGTTTGTTTTACTTTTTTGATGGGAGTGACATATTTGATTGCAAATAATGTTTTTAGGCTCATCTAGAGCACTGTCATTCTTCCTGGTTTGTATGTTTTTATGTGGTTACATGGTGTTCATTTTTATGCGCGTCAACATTTCTTAATGAGTTGTCTAAAGCATGTTTTCCAGTAAAAGCTAAGTATGTGTATAATTTTTGTGTGTGTGTACAACAATGTGTGTTATAGTCAGTGAGACACATGCATATTTGAGTTGTGTAGACTAAATGTGTATATTGAGGATATATTTTGTATACTAAGATCTAAAACACACATATCCTTTGTTAATCACGTCTAATACTCCCTTTAGATGATTTCCTGAATAGTTCCTAATAAAACCCTAAGTTCAGGAAAAGACTCATCAAGGAGTATTTACCTAATACTCTGAAGATCATATAAAACATCAATCATATAATCTGAAAAGTCAATGATATTTTAAGTTGTGGACTAAGGATTGTAAATTTGTAAATATAATAAGCAAAGCTACATTCCCAGAGTCCTGCCTGGCAAAATAGCCCAAAAGTTGTTTTATGGTTGTTGTTGTTCCCTTATTACCATACACAATATCCAGTTGCAGTGCTGTTTTGTTAATAAATATGTTTCCATTTATATCCAGTTGTTGCTGATGAGAAAGAATGATGATGCTATAAAGACTGATGGTATAAATACAGCAGGAAAGCTTTATTTACTCAGGGAAGGATCAGAGTCTTTATGGGATGGAATAATTAGAGGCATAACACATTAATTTTCTATGGATGGATAGTTTTAAAAACTGATATTAAATCTCTAGATCATTTTCTTGACACAATTCTGATAGTGATAATAATTGAAGAAGATAAAGACATATCTTTTTTATTAAATAACTCTATGAACATATTGCTATATGAAAGCTAATCATTCTTTATTTTTTATTGTCCAAGAAGATTGCTTTAATTTAAATGTACTGTTAAATTGTATTGTCAATGTTAAAACCATGTTTACATAGTGAATGAAAACTGAAATAAGGCAAGGATTCCCACAATTACCTCTATTATGGATCATCTTTCTGTAGCGAATGTCAATGCACCTGGGAAGGAAAATAGACTGAGAGATGATACAGTGGAATGTAACTATCATTATAAAATTTAAGATATGGTCACACTTGAAAAACACAAGAAAATCAAATTAACTACCATGGAGAGTACAATTAGATGATAGTTATAAACATTACACAACAATTTTCATGTGTACTAACAAAGGTTTTCAGAAAATAGAATTGAATAATAGTTTATTTCAATCTCTGTAACAATGTCAAATAGGGCAATGGATTTAACAAGAAATGTGCATAACATTGGTGAAAATCTTTATGGAGAGCTATAGAAGATGAATGAATTTAGAGTTATACCATCTATTTTATTGTATGAGAAGATAAAACACAGAAATGATCACAGTCTTTCCACTGTAATTTATAAATGTGATAGGATTCTAATCAACATCACAGCGTGATTTTTTGGAGAAATCTCCAAAATTATCTTAATATTTATCTGAGTAAAGAAGATAGTTTTCCACACAAGAACTTTTTCTGTAGATACTAAAATATATTTAAAAAAAACAGCAAGGCACCATTGTTAGAATAGTTTATAAGAATACAATAAAAAGTTCAACTTTATCATTATCCTTATTTCCTTGTATTTTATTTACGAATTTTATAAATATAAAGAATTATTCACATAATTGAATTTTTAGTTATCTTTTGTGATATCTTTTTTAAATCTAAGTATAAAAATAATGTTAACTTTACATAATGTGTTTTCATGTTGATCTGAACACCTAGGGAAAATACTTTGGAAAGATCTATTGAAAATATTTTCACTTACTCCCATAATTATTGGTTGAATTAAAATTTTAATTCCTCTTTGCAATATTTTTTGAGAAAAGCATGAGTTTTATTCAGATAGTGTCAGTTTCTTAGCATGTAACCCTAATGCTGTTGTTCTATAATTTGAGGGAAAAAACCCTTCTGTTGCCATTGTTCAATCTTCTTGCTCATATTTAATCTCATTCTACACTTACATACACACACATAAAATTTACATCACAAGATTTTTTCTTAATGTCTCCAACCTACTGACAATTTATTAACTCTACTCATTTTCTATATTCTAATTTCTTTGATGTTTGCTTTAATTTTTATTATTTCTTCTTATGCATTTCTTCTTATGCCTTTTTAGTCTTTTCCTAACTTTTGAATTACAGAATATCTCCTTAATTTCACTCTTCCTATTGTAACTGTTAAATAATGAACATATTTAAAGCTCTGCCTATGTTTCATTTTATATATTGAGATACAAATTTAGATTTTCATATGCAGGTCTCTTATTTTCTAAATGTTTTATTGTCTTATTCTTGATTTTTCCTTCCACTCATTACTTAATTAAAGAACACATTTCAGTAAAGTTTTTATTAAGCTAATCTCTAGTTTTGTAGCATCATGAGTTGATAATACAAACACTATTTTTCTATTTTTGTAAATTATTGAGCTTTTTCTGAAGCATAGACTATTTTTACTGTTTTTCTAAATAGTCAACAAATTGTCAAAAAGAACTTATGATCTAAGAACATTACTGTTTTTGTATAGCATCAATTGTATTTTTCATTTCACCCATGTCTATTATTTTTCAATACATAATCACTCCTAAATTTATAACTTTGTGATGAATTATCTAACACTAGTTGTGTTTCTCTTAAATTTGCTTATTTCTAATATTTCCCTTCGTATTATTTTAAGCTCTACTCTTTGGTTCACTGTTGACCATAGCTGTTGTAACTTTATTATCAATTGCACTCTTATCAATGTGTAGCAATACATTTGGACTATGTAATACTTTTCCTTTATATTTTGTTTCATAATACTTTTGCTGCACTTGTTTTCACTCTCTTTTGCCGTTTATATTTTAGGCTATTTTTTCTTTAATATGTATTTACATTTTTTGTGTTTAAAGTAGATGACCACTACTGTCATCTAGTGGCAGCATACTCCAAATTTGTTGAATTATTACTGACTAGATAAATACTATGTTTGCAACAATGAAGTAATAATACTTTAGATATTGTCACAAAGTTCTGGAGGTTATGTATCCTACAATGTATCAAACCACTAAAAATTGTGGATTTTTTGTCACAAAGAAAAGTATATGAACACAGTATTTTAAATACAATTGCAAGAGATATATGGACAGACAGTAATTAACTTAAGGCACATGTAGTTAATAAAAGCTAAGTTAGATGATTTCATAGGCCACACATCTTGTGGCCTCATATGGGACACTCAAATTTCTAAAGTATTAAAGGATTTCTTTAAACAGCAAAAAAATTAATCTTAAATGTTCCCAATTTCCCTTCACCCATAGATAAAAGGAAGATAGTGGTTCTCTTACATATCATTTAATAGTCAACTTCTTGAGTTACACAGTTACTTACAGAAAGGGCTAAATAGACCAACCATTTGAAAACCAAAATCAAGATTATATGAAAGCAAATTTATCTCATTTTTTGACAAGCTTACTACTGGAGTCTTATTATAGTAATTATGCTAGACAGTAAGGAAAGTCTTGACTAGAATCCTAGGCATACGGTGCAAACAGTTCATCTAGCAGAGTCAAAGTGTTCACTTTGATACGATTTCATAGAGCTTGCCAAAGCTTTAGAGAGGTTCTCTAGTATGTTAGAGTTACGTTAAGGAACACAAGTATTCTTCAAGGCAAAGGTGACCTTAATATGAGATTTCAGGTACTTCTAGTCACATTAGGATGTTCAAATACAATGTGTAATAAATTTATTAAGTTATCTTAGTCTTATGTCATTAAACATTCAGTTTATGTAACTTCCTATGTTCTGGTTTTTTGACCCAGAACACAAACTTCTGATTATGTTCAGTCTTGCCATTCCTAACAGGAAAAGAATAAGCTGATTATATTGAGTTTAAGTCCTTTGGCCATTCTGACAGTGACTTTTCGGTGTAAATGAACAAATTGGCTTCTCATTATGATTCCATTCCCCATATGAAATAGAGATAACGTGGAGATAAAATGGGCTTTGGGTATTTCCATTTCCCTGTAACAGTAATTTGTCTCTGCAAGTTAATAAAATAATCTGATTATAATTTGAATTTCCATGTAGGTGAACTATGAGGAGAATTCACTAATCAAGCAAACTCAAGCATAACATTTCCTGCAACAATTATTTCTTTTCATATATTAATGAGTTGACTTTATGTTTTACAGATGACCCACTTGAACTTGTTAATGTTAATCGGCCCCTGAGAAGTGGATTTATTCTCAACGTACTAAGTGAACCAAATCATCTAACCGAGCCCACCAGCTGAAGAGCTAGACTTTGGAGAGGAATAAATGTCTCAGAGCAATTAATGTTTTCCTAAGAGATTTCTGACGATTTGACTTTTTCTCCTTGGAAGATTCTAAATACCTCTTTCTATCCTCTATGAGCTGAGAAGA